ATTAAACGGACCCGTATAAATGCGAACCATAACTTGACCTTACCGAAAATGGTAGAAACGACGGAGTGACGTGGATATTGTTCCGCCGGTTTTGTCGAGCTTGAAACACTTGCCTACGTAAGTTTCCGGACACTTTACTTCGATTTCGCTGCTTATGGGCCGTTTTCAGTTGAGTTTGTCGAGTGTAAACAAGAAAAAAAGGACTTGCTAAAATTTGTTCACCCTAATTCTATATTGCTGAGATAAACATGCTTTTGAATTTTATTCTAACATAAATATTTTAGTTTTAAACATGTTTTCAAATTACTTTGAATAATTTATATGTTTAGAGTATAAAAAATTATATTTTTGATTTAAATGAACAAAATTCGCTTCCGTGTGGTTTGAGAACTTTAATGGTAATGGTTATGGTAGTCAGTAAGGTCCATTGATGGTTTTGTATTATCGGTCAATTTAATGTGGAATATATCAGGAATAGGTTATCATTAATTTATAGGCAACCAATTCGCGATATATGCCACATAAAGTTGATCGATGTTACAAAACCATCCAAGGACCTTGCTGACTACCATAACCATTACCATTGAAGTTATAAAACCATAAATAAAAAGGTTCTAATAAAGTTCTCTTTCCGAAAATGTATGGAGAAAACAAGAATTTTTAATGGTAATGGTTCTTAACAACCCATTATTTGTAAGGTCCACTTCCAAAAAACCATGATACATAAGGTTAAAACTTTATCACACAAACGTTCATGTAAAGTTCCGTAACCATTTCAGTTAAAGTTTAGCAGGGATTCCCTAATAAAAATTGTATGGTTAATTTGCTTAACGACGTGTTCTGGGTATCATCCAAACCATTTGTGGAATAGTTCAATGATTTGCGCTATCGTTCGTTTATGGTTATTTTTTATTAGGGTTATAATCAATTTTTCAGCATTTTTGATAAGGTCAAGTAATGGTTCGAATTTATGCGGGGAGTAACGCTGGAACCAAATATATTATATTAACAATATGATCCACTCTTTCGCTTAGCTAGCGAACCGATTTTTTAGCGATGAAAGCGCCGCTGTATTCAAAAAGGTTACCAATGTATTTGTTTATCTTCACGAGGGGTAAAATTTGAAAGGTAAAGGTAAAATACAAATGAAAATTTGTATAATATTATAAGGCTGTGTTCCATTTGGTGAATTTTCACTCAAATTTGACAGATGGAAAATACTCAAATAAACCTGCTATTTCAGCAGACTTATTTCTGACAGACAAGGAATCAACTTTGACAGACGCTTTCCCCAGACAACCAGAAGTCGTATAACAATGTACAGACAGGATCGTAAATTGCTACAGTTTAAGTCAAAATCGCATATAAGAATGGCATACCTCGCATTATGTTTAAGTTAAATCGTATAGAATGCAGATTTCCGACTTATATGCGATTACTTATTTTTCCGTCGTACTGTATCACAAATTAAATCGGATGACATCGTAGGACTTTTCAAAATGAATTTGTTATTACAGATTAAATCGCGTATGATGTTGAATCAACTCGTTCAAAATTAAATTAAAATATGCACGTATATGGCCTCCACTTTTGTACGTATAAGCCATTTATTTGCATTCTATACGAGTTGTTTGTTTGTATATATGTTTGTATAGCACGAAAACAACTTTGAATATACGTGCATTCTAGTTGTCTGGGTCTCGAAAATCGGCCGATCAACAACAGAGGGATTTTCGAATATTTTAATTTGGAAACAACCGTATGTATTTTAGCATATTATTTCATTTGATGACAACAGTGTCACGCAGTGGCGTTTCAATAACCTCAATTTACCTGTGCACCAACACTCAAAACATAAACAATTATTAAAATATTGCTTGGTATGGAGTAAACTAGAAGATTAACGGCGGTAAGCTCCAACTCGGATTAACTTTTAATACCGTCCCTGTTAGTATGATCTACAAAATATTTGCTTAAAGTCGCGTTGATTCACTCTGATGTCGACATCAAAGCCACCGGACATTCTTGATCGGGATTTAATCCGAGGATAATACCGGTTGGAGCTTACCCATAAGTGTATTTTTCAACCGATTCGAGTATGAATATAGCATTAATGACGGTAAGCTTCAACTCGGATTAACTTTGAATCTCGTCCCTGTTAGGATAATCTGCAAAGTATTTGCTTAGAATCGTGTTGATTTACTCTGATGTCGACATCAAAGCAGCCGGACAGTCTTGATCGGGAAATAATCCGAGGATAATACCAGTTGGAGCTTACGACCATAAATCTAGTTTTGAAAGTTGGTGCAATTTTAGATGGTCAGAAAATTTCACGTTATCGAATCAATTTACGATAAATCTTTTTTCATCTCTTGCATGTAAATCGCTCTTCAACATTTTGCAGGCCATTCCGTCTCGCATGCAGAGTCGGTCAAGACGTACTGGTCTCGTTGTACGACACTATAGTTCGATATTTTTTGAGTTTTTCCCCACGCGAGGGTTTTTTTTTTCTCACCAAAGTTAGTTGGCATAGTGTATAGACAACAAGTGCGCGAGTGAGGAAGCCGTTAACCATACGCCGAGCGCTTTGATTACGGTCCAACTTTAATCATCATCATCGCAACACCAACATCAGCAATATCATCACCACTATCGGCACATCACACCATCGATAGCAACCACGAAATTGCCTACCGAGTGGACCGAGGCACACCAGCTACGAGGTTATTGACCCATTATTGGGTCAAACAATTTCATCTCTCCAGTCTGCTGCCGCCTCAGTGTAGAAGGTATAAATCGTGTCGCTGTTGTTTTGTTCTCGCCAGTATTGCATCTCCCTTGTTCCTTTGGTCAAATATTAGGCTGGTGCATAATTAGGGTGATCCAAACATTTTGTAAATAGTATTTTTTTATATTTTTTTTGATTTTTTTTTATTTTTTTTTCGTTTTACTCTTTAGTAGAGTGAAACTATATATATATATATATATTTTTTTACCTTATTTTTATATATTTTTTTACTTTCTATTTTTGATATTATTTAAAATTACTGTAATTATTTGTAAAAAATTTACCAAAAACACGTTCAGACTACAGAGTTATAACATGTTATAGCGCTATCTTGATGGTGGTTTCTGTGTTGCAATTATTTGACAACCGTTATAACATGTTATAACTCTCCAGTTTGAACAAGGCATTTCCTCTATGGTACAACGGTACTACAAAAAAAATAAGAACAATAAATACGTGTGCTCATTATTTTCGTCCATGTTTTCTTTATAGTTCAACTGAGCATCTATTATTCACGGAACCCCTTTGGATACGGTTGTGTTTGTTCTCTGTTTTGTGCGTGCGTTCGCTTTCATAGTTTTCGGCTGCATTTGCCGGATTAGCGCTGGCACTCTGCCTCCCGGACGGTTATACGTGTGTAAGTGGTGGTTTTCTCGCTTTCCGAGAAGTTTTAGAATCGAGAAAGAAACATGATTCATCATGTTTGCAAAATTGCAAGTATCAGAAGATTTGGCGCTGCGTGGTTTGATTGTTTCTCCCGGACCAGAAATTTGTGGCATCGCGAGTGTACCAAAAGTGCTTCTGAACGTGTTTCGCAGTTGGGTGTGGTGAAATTCGTGGTTGTTTTCAGTGAAAATTCAGTCAAAATTCCGTATCACAAATTTGCTCACCGAGTTCCCTTTTTTTTGCCGTTCGACGACATCGGGAATGCGCTCCCGGAAATATTAATTTGGTGAGTACGTTCCAGTTGAGGATTGTTCTTGTACATTTCTCGATTGCATTTTCGAGGGGACGTGTCTGCTTTTGTGGGCGGTGCGTTTGATGGTCGGTTTGGTAGTATCCTTTTAAATATAATGTCTCATGTCCAAATAACCTCGATTTTCGGTCTATTGATTTAATACTTTAGTATTATATTTTCAAAACATATACAATGATGAATTATGTCATTTCATGGCACATAAAACAAACAGTGTGTGTATAGGACCCAACAATCTAGGTTATTTGTATTTTGTAAAACATCTTACTTCATTTTACTTCATATTTTATATACATTATATATCACATGACTATATATAAATTCATAATGTACATTACAATAAATACTGGGACGGGAGGGAGCATCAGGGCATCATTGAAGTTGTAACTGGACAATGGAGTGGAGTGCCAACCGGAGTCTAGGAGGGAATGTGTACTGTCATTTTAGATAGTTACATTTCACTCCAACAGTTGCAATGAATTTGACGCGCTCTTCTTAAACAAACCATCCCGTGGAAAGCTTAACATGTATTGCGAATTTCGTTATTCATTTTGTTGGATCATATTGTTGGAAGGAGATTCTCTTATTCCCGCGGGTTTCGCGTAAGTGCCTCTGCTACGGGCCCGTCCAACACTTTTTGGCCCTTAATACAGCAGTATGTTGAATTCAGAATGATGATGGAATTTGATCTTGCTTTTGAGTGGAGCCGCATGCAGGGCAAGACCCAAGCTAGGATGGTGGCTACTTACATACATACATATAGTTCAACTGAGCATCTATTGAAGACAATTAAATGGCTATTGATTTAAACAAAAACTTGTTTAATGGATTCGATAATTGTAGACTGTATTGTATTTTTTTTCTTCAAAAACACATTTTTGCATTTCAAAACAACAAAAACACTTCTAGGAAGGAATGGGTTAAAGTTTAGTAATGAGATCTACATCATAGATTAAACATACTTGATCGATTTTTAAGCTTTTCATTCCTGTTGTGTGATATAATTTAAGGATAATGTATTCCATATAATGAGAGAGAGAAGGATTAGTATTTTCCATTTAATTCCACTACTTTATTTGCTTATCCTTGACAAGCAAATTGTCAAGGATAAGCAAATGAAGTAGTGGAATTAAATGGAAAATACTAATCCTTCTCTCTCTCTCATTATACAGGTATTCCACTAAGACGCCCACATTCATCAGGTATTCCATATGTTTCTTTCTCTTGTAATTGCAGAAATAATTCCACCTTCCGCGCCTGATGACATCAAGCTGTATTACAATTATCGAGAAGCTGAAATGGAAAATTCTCTCATGGCATCATCAGGAGCAAAAGCACTATTGGAATCGTTTTGCGCGCACGAAGACCTGCTACTAAATCAGCTGCTTAGAAGCGAAAATATGGACCCAAAGTGGGCGAAAACATTAATTCCAATTGCAGCCCGCGTTGCAAATACTGTTCGACCACAGGTATGTGGCTTAGTGGATGCGATGGACATTCGAAATTATGTATTTTTCAAAAAAGTACCTGGAGGCAAACGCCATGAAACCCAAATACTAGGTGGTGTTGCTTTTTCAAAAAATGTCGTTCACAGACAGATGATGTCCCGGATCGAGAAACCGAAAATATTGCTTCTACAGTGCGCCATCGCATATCAGCGTGTTGAAGGAAAATTTGTTAGTTTTGATACATTGATGTTGCAGGAGCGTGATTATCTCAGAAACAAAGTTACAAAAATTCTCAGTCTTGGCCCTAATATTGTGCTGGTGCATAAAAATGTAGCTGGAATTGCGCAAGACATGCTGCGAAACAATGGGATAACACTGGTACTAGATGTCAAGCTGTGCGTGATGGATAGAATTGCACGCTGTTTGGACTGTGATATACTGACGTCGGTTGATTCTAACGTGGGGCAGCCTAAATTGGGAACATGCGATACATTCCACATACAGACATTTTACGATGAACAGGGTGAGTATAGCGCTTGTAACATACCAAGCATATTTATACCTTCTAAATAGCCAGTTGACCCATAAGCATTGGCTAAAACAGGGTGGAGATTAATGTAGCTTCCATTAGAATTGTTACTACAATTGTTTATTTTCTTTACACATTACGATTGTTCGCTAATTACCTAATTGAGAAAATCGCAAAATAAATTCAGCCCCCTTTGGGATATTTCTCTTTATATAGTACAGTTTTTTTGTCGGTCTATGATTTTAAATTTTGCTGAAGTCTATGATATCGAAAAATTTTTAATGTTCTAAAAGAGTTTCGAACATTTATCTAATGGCTTTGTTCGAACTATACATCCCTTGTGACATGTTATAATTATTATTGACAGCCATGTCTGAAGTTAAAGATATAAACAAATTAAACTGCCAAATTTCTTACATACATACACATTAGACTGATGCATAATTTGAAATTTTCGCTCCACAGTGCTCAAACGGTTTCAAATCAGGTCCTGATTAGCCTCCCAAAATTTCAACTCATTTGGTAAGAAACTGACTTGGCACAAACTATTCGAAGTTTATATGGAAATTACTATGGGAAAACCAAACTTTTTGTTCATTGCCTTCTACCCATTTTCCATATTTCTTTTTAGAAAATTTCAATAACTATTCTTACGGGAAAATTTCTAAGCTACAACTTAGCGGAATATCGTTTGGCTATTCTTCGCACCAGAAACACCAATGTTGCCTGCTGTACAGTTGAATGAGCATAATCATAAGACATCAGTGACTTGAATCATTAATAACTTTTGTTCCTTACATTTGATCGAAAAGTGGTTTTCAACAAAGTTGTAGCTGAGAAAATTTGCTACAATCACTGCTATCATCATTTTTTAAAGCAAAGTAATGTGGTGAATTGTTAGATATGAACAACAACATAAGTTTTCCCATAGTATTTCCTATATAAACTTGAAATGGTTTGTGCCAAGTCAGTTTCTTACTAAAGAAGTTCAAGTTTGGGAGGCTAAGCAGGACCCAATTTAGAACCGTTTAAGCACTGTGGAGCGAAAATTTCAAATTTTGCATAAGTCTAATACACATACATACATGGATTACACATACACATACATACATGGATTTTTTCAAGTATTCCCAACTTCCCGTGTCGCGTTCTTGAATCATAGGAGAGATGAACTAGCCTTCGGCTAAAAATCTCTAAAATAAAGTAAAAAAAGTTGAATCATAGAATATTAACTATGAGCAGCGCAAATCAGTGGTGTCCGGTTAGCTAGTCATAAATCAAATCAAATCCTTTCCAATTCCAGGTTCATCAAAAACGCTTATGTGTTTCGAGCGTTCATACAGCCCACGAGGATGTTGCGTGTTGCTTCGAGGAGGTAGTAAGAGTGAATTGGTGAAGATAAAAAAAGTCTTATCGATGTTGTTATTTGCACGTTATAACTGGCGCTTGGAATTGGCGTACCTGTGTGACGAGTATGCCCGACCTCCATCTCCCAGATCAAGCATTTTTGAATCAAAGGAGACAAGTCCTTCAGAAGAATTCAAAACATGTAGTGAAAACCAGTCGAAGAATACATCGGTTGTCAAGAAAGTTGACGAAGGCATTAAAAAAGCTAATATTAACATTGAAAATGTTCGAGACTTTTCGGATCCACTGCGAGCTGTCGATATTTCGCCCAGTGATTTTGAGTCGGAGAGCTCTTTTGAATTAGCAGTGGAGACGCCTTTTGATAATCGCTTCAGAACCGCTCTTAGCAGCACTATCCTGTCTGTTAGCCCGTTTTTTAATTTTCCTCTACCGTATTTGGAAACCGAAAACGGACGCAAATGTCCTTTACGCTGTTACTTTCCCAACGAATTATACTATTCCAAACAATGGAGTGATCGGATATATGACAGACAATTTTCTATTGACGCGAACCCTAGCGAACCAATTGATGCTGTTGAACTCTCACCACCACACGATTTTACCATGTATAGAATCATATCTCCTTTAGATACTAAAGAGGTGCAGACAATGCTAGCAAATTTTCGAGCTTCCGGTGGCCGATACCCAAAACAATCAACAAGTAAGTACCCAAACTAGCAATCGCTAAAATATTTTACCCATCTTTTTATACTGAACAGTATAAATTACATTTTTGTTGCTCATGAAAAACTATATAAAATGCTTCTAAAAATATCTACCCTATTTACAAAGATTATAAAAAAATGTTGGTCAACCATATACCTATCAGTGCTCTCTTAGCTGTCGACACAGGCAGCTGTGTGTTTTTTTATTCGATGCGGGTCATGCGATATGTTATTCGATAGCAACTATTGTTGTGGTGCTGCTCATTAATTCGTTCGCTTCTGTCGTTGCCCCGTTGGAAGCAAACAACTGGAGATGGCGGTGGAAATAAAGCTGACTGTTAGATTCAACTTCGCACACGTCAATGGACGAAATTGCGACTTTTGTGAAAGCGCTGGACATGGATCTCACTCAGATGATCACTACATACCGTATGGTCGAGGAAAAATCTATGTTAATCAAGTTCAAATCAAATCATTGCTTATTGTACAACCGTGGATAATTAATTTTCCATTATTTCGATGGAAGCCATGTAACGTGGGAAGATCACCTTTTCGTGGTACGTTACGGTTTGTAAGATCTGCCACAGATTCCTAGTCTTTACTACTTCAAACTAGGGGATCAGGATTTTTTAGTAATCAAAGGAACACATCTTAATCTTTGTTACTTATGCCTTGTTGACTGTGACAAAACTCGGATTTGAAACAACGAAAAAAAAAGTTAGTATTCATCTATGTGATTCCTAATTTTCTACTCGTTGTTCCCTAGTTTGAAGTGGTTAAGATTAGGGTTCTCATGCATGGTCATTGTCGGTGTCATTGCTTAAATTTGTTACTAAGGAATCCAATTTTGACTGACAAAGGGGCACACCTGTGGAGGGTGCTCTCACTCTTCGAAGGGTATAAATAGCGGGACCTTTCAATGGATCAATGAAAATGCTAAGGTTTTGACATAACTATGCTGTGGCTACCACAGTATTTTACATTTGGTCGTCCATATACAGAAGCGCCAAAAGCATGCTGTGGTGGGTTCAAAACTTGACCATATAAAATGATCAATTAGAATCGATTCCTTGCGATGAATGCAAGAATTACAACTATATCCAAACCGAATACTTAATCATTTCTCAATAGTTATTGATGCATGCTCTAAACTAAGGACACGGAATATACTACAATAGATCAAATTACTGATCGCAGTGGTTTTATGCCCCGAACAGAGAAAAACATATTCGGTGGAAAATCAGTTGAGGTACACGAAACGAAAATTAATTATTTTATTCATGTGTTTCACTTATACCTACATTTTTGCCAAAACATCAGCCGTATACATTCCGTAAGACAAACCACATAGGTCCTATAAGAATGCATAAACGGTATGTTTGACCATTTATAGTATACATTTCATTTGACACATGATCTTCATTAACTATTTTGCAAGGCGTCTGCTTATAGTTGGCTTATACAGAGGGACCGACATTTCAGGATTATCCCATTTTTACCAAAATCTCTCATAAAATTTGCGTGATCTAATTGAAAGGGGATTTTATTTGTGTGATCGAATTGAAAGAGGGAGTGATTTTCATAGATATAATACTAGAAACGCGGATGAAATAAGAACACCACATTTGCCTGTGCTTCACAAAATTCATTATATTTTAAAGGAATAAATGTTTTCAATTCGATGTCCAGACACATTAAACGTGTAACCACACTTACGGAATTTAAGAAACATTGCATTTCACACGTTAAAGCTGTCTTTTGAACAGTTATCTAATGATTTTTTTTAATTAATTATCAAATTATGTATCTTGACGAAGTTTTTAACGGATTATTTTATATGGATAGCTGTCATAACGACTTTTTAATAATTATTGTAGCACGAAAAAAATATTGTGTTCGCCACGATAGTAATGATGGATTTTTAATATTTAATTTAATAGTAATAGATTAAAAAAAAAGTAGTCTACAAAGGTTTGAGCCTTGCGTGCGTATTACGGATATAGAGGACTGAATTTAAAATTTGAACAAAAAAAAAATGCGATTTTGAAGCTGTTCCGTGCGAAACAAGCTATAGTAGCTTCCAAAACACAACGCAAACGATCGTCATTCAAACCACCCATCGTGGCAACAACGCACTCCAGGTAGAATTTTAAGGACACCGAACGAGAAGGGAGAAGCACTATATACTTCTCTTCAACATGCTGCTGCCTGCTGCTCGCCGTAGCGCACGGCAGGCAAGTATATAGGACCAAAAGTAGCAAAATACGATAGGACGACTGCTATAAAAGCGACACAGCCAGCCAGCGTTTTTTTGAGTATTATTCCGACCACCATCCAAGTTACATCCAGTGAAGTAAGAAAGCAATCTGTAGAGAAATAGTGAACTAGTTAGAATAAAAGTAGTGTTAAGGTGATAATTTGATTAGTGTGTTGAATCTTTCAATCCGAACGAAATACAGTCCACTTCCAACCCACCGGAGTTGGCCACGGTAAACGCGCCAACATAGTGGTCCTTCGAACCGGATCCAGCGCCGCCCGTAGGAAAGGATTCGACACCATCGCCACTCGACCGAGTGTATTCCGACACACTTCCGTGGTGTGCCAACCACGACGTGTACCGCCAGGAGAGGAATCAATTATTGATCACCGCCGCTTGCGAATCCGATTCGCAAGTTTCAACCCGCCCGCCGAAGGATTTTTCTACAGAACCGCTATTCCGAAACCATACGTGCTCGTGCTGTGTGTAACGTACGACGTGACAACGAGTTCATTATGCCAGTGGATCGAACCCCGAAAGGTAAGCCTGCTGCTAAGGAAGCAGTTGAGGGCACAGGCAAGGAGAAGCAGCACGACGAGTCAGCAATATTCGAAGGATTTGCAGAATGGGAAATCAGTGCTGATTCCGAAACCGTGAAGGAAATAACGTCGCTTTCCCGCCAGCGAGACCAGGTCACCATGAAAGTAGTGCGTGTGCAAAGGGCGCTTGTTGCCGCTCGAAACTTGGTGAGCCTCTCACAACTCAGGACGTACATGAAGAATATCGATGTGGCCTACAACGAATACAGCGCAGTGCATAGCAAACTGGTTGCTATCATTCCCCAAGAAAGTTTTCAACAGCAGGAGGAAGTTTATGTCGCATTTGAAGACCGATACAACTTCGTCCGCACGACCATCGATGAGCTAATCATGGCACACGAAAATGCAAGTGTTCGTGCTCAAGCCCCGCAACAACAAATCATCGTCCAACAGCAACCGTTGAAGGCTCCAATTCCCACCTTCGATGGTGATTATGCCAACTGGCCGAAGTTCAAGGCCATATTCCAAGACTTGATGGCCAACTCAGGAGACTCGAACGCGATCAAGCTGTATCATCTGGACAAGGCTCTGGTTGGTGCAGCAACAGGTGCTCTGGATGCCAAAGTAATCAGCGAAGGTAATTACCAGCAAGCGTGGACCATTCTCACCGATCGCTATGAAAACAAAAGGATCATAGTCGAGACGCACGTTCGTGGTCTGTTCAACTTGCAAGGAATGTCATCCGGATCCCACAAGGAGGTGCGACGTCTGCTCGATGAGTGCACCCGCCACGTCGAGAGCCTGAAGTATCTTGAACAGGAATTCCTCGGTATTTCCGATTTGTTTCTGGTTCATATGCTGACGACCGCCATGGACAACACGACCAGGATGGCATGGGAAGGCACACAGAAGAAGGGCGTGCTACCCAAGTATGCGCAAACCATTACGTTCCTGCAATCGAGATGTGAAATGTTGGAGAACTGCGAAACAGCTTTCCAGAAGGTTAATGCGCAGCCCGCTTCCAAATCGACCCCGAAGGTACAAGCATTCCAACCGAAAGCAAGCAACCCGAAGGTCCATGCCGCCGCAACCACACCAATCAGCAAGGAGGTTTGTGATTTCTGCCAAGGTGCACATCGCAACTACCAATGCAATGCGCTTGGTAACATGTCCTTTGACAAACGTATGGAGAAGGTACGCACAACTGGTGTGTGTTTCAACTGTCTGCGCAAGGGGCACAGCTCCAAGGAGTGTTCATCACCGAGGTGCTGCCAAAAGTGTCAGAAACGGCATCATACACAACTCCACAACGACGAGGTAAACCGAGAACCGAAAGCCAACGTGTCCGTTTCGAAAGAAGAGTCCCGCACAGTTCAACCGAACAGCACGGTAGCAAACCCGCCATCCGGAAGAGATATACCGAGCACATCCTGCTCGTGTAACTACGCCGATTCCACGAAAACTGTGTTCCTGCTGACAGCGGTTGTCAACGTGCTGGACGAAAACAATCAACTGCATTCATGCCGAGTACTGCTAGATAGCGGCTCTCAGGTAAATTTCGTAACAAACAATTTTGCAAATCTTTTAAGAATTCAGAAGCATCGTGTCAACGTTCCAATCTGTGGCATCAACGACGTCAGGACTGTAGCCCACGACAAGGTGATGGTCAACATCCGATCTCGACTCACCGACTTCCAAGCACACGTGGAGTGTTTGGTTACGCCCAATGTGACAGGTGTCATCCCGCCAACAAGAATCGACGTGTCATCTTGGAACATTCCCTTCGGCGTCCAACTAGCCGATCCGGAATTCTACAAACCGGACAAGATCGATATGCTTCTTGGTGCAGAGTTATTCTTCAAGTTGATGCGACCAGGACATATCAAACTCGACGACAGCCTTCCCGATCTCCGTGAAACCTGCCTTGGATGGGTTTTAGGCGGTGTATTCACTAACACGATCCACGCCAATCAACCACAACATTCGCTCATCGTATCGTTGGATGACATCGAGGAATCCATTCAACGATTTTGGAGGCTCGAAGAGGTGCCAGATTCGAGTCCTCTGACGAAGGAAGAACAGGAGTGTGAAGCCCATTTCGTCGCCACCCACCAGCGTGATGAAAATGGACGATACCAAGTGAGGCTACCGTTCAAGGATAACGTGCACGAGCTTAGTGACTGCCGAGCGGTTGCTTTGA